ATGGGAGCTCCCCCACTAACATTCACACTGGGCCGTTTCCCCAGCGAGACTGCCTGCCTCACCTCATTATAGGGATCACACTGCTTTGTACATAGTTTCTCTAAGAAGATTAGAATAGACACAGTGCCAGTGCTAAATATAAAAACACATTAAGCTGCTCATATCGAGTATATCCATCAGGGCTTCCAAATTAAAATTCCCAATATTTAACATACGTCAGCAGCACGACTTCCAAGCTTACTCCCCTTGAACTCCCCGTGAAACAAAGCAGAGGCAGAGGGGCACTGGAACAACAGACAGACCCACTGCAGGCCTGCAGAGGCATCCGGTGAGGTTACACAGCCGCAGTCCCGGGGCTCAGCTGATGTGGCTGCACCACGCGTGGGGAGATGCTCTGTCTGCATGTACTCAGGTAAGCAGCTGCTGGGATCAGCCCACAGAGCCAGCCCTGGGCAGCTGCACCTGCGCAGTGCAATCCACAACAGCATCCCTCCCATGGCAGTGCTGCAGCTCGGCCAGAGCCTCAGCAGTTCTGCTTTGGAGAGCACCTTTATGGTGCAGGTGCCACGGCCTCGTGGCCAGAGCCAAGGGTCAGTGCAGCTCTGTTTAGAATGGTCCTGCAGCCTGCCGGGCCTGATTGCAGAGCGCAGAAATATTTACATATTAAATAAGTGTTATCAAAGGGTCACTAAACGTAGTAGAACTGGAAGAACCCCAAAGCAGACAGATGCAACATGCAATACACATTGCTCAGTGAGGAGCCGCTCCCCGCTGTGGAGGAATTGCCATTTCTGGCTGAGTTTGTCATACCTGAATCTGTGCTGCTCCATGACATAACACTGGATGTGCCTGGGAGCGCCTCCATCCCCACCCCGTAAGCAGGCAGGAAGGATGAAGGACCCCCAGAGCACTTTGTTGCTCATCAGGATGCTTCCTAGCCCTTGCTTTCTGAACTGCTCTGCTACCTGAAATTCCTCTTCGAGGCCATAATCCAACCCTGTTTGCAGAGCACCGTGATGATGATTTCAGAATGCAAGAGCCTAAAAACAAAGCCAGAATGCTGCTCCTTTATTGCTTTAAAACATAATAACTTGCAAACAGAAAACTTGGCAGAGAGAACATAAAATGGGATTTTTTGTGCACCTTCAGTGCAGCCAGCTTAAATTAGGTAACTGTCTATAAATTGTCTGATTAGATCAACTTCCATCCAATGCAGCCCCAGCCTGAAACACCCCAGTAACCAAGCTTTCTTCAGAGAAGGTCCTTTACATCCTAAGTTCCCATGTAGTAATTTAAAGCTATAATAACTCACTTAATCCTTAAAACTGACTTGATGCTTTCTAGAACATTCTATGTGTTATTCTATGTATTCGTGCAGCATCCCAAGGGCTGACTGCTCTGTGGTGCAGCAGAGCTATTCAGCTTCTTACATCGACTGTCCACCTCCCCTCTGTAGTGCAACATGTGAAGGAGCTCCATGGTGAGAATCCTTCCCTGCGGGCACTGGGCAGCTGCCAGCACTGCGCTGCAGCTCTGGGGATAAACAGGAGCCCAGCAGCCCCTGCAGCCCAAGGGGCCAGATGGGATGGCAATAAGCACAGCCTCCCTTAGGAACATACAACTTCTGCATGAGGTACTCCCAGAGCTCCCACAGGCAGTACCAGCTGTGACCATGCTTTTCCTGAGGCCAAGGGAGACCTCTGCGGTGGGTACCTCTGGTAACAGGTTTCAGGAAAAAGCAGGACAGAAGGGCTTTATGCAGAGAGATGAGGGACATAGCATCTCCCTGGGATAGGTGTGGGGAGATGGATGGCAGTGACACCCCCAGCATCGGGGCAGGGCCCAGCAGCCAGGGCAGGAGGGCAGTGACATCCACCCGAGAGAGATGCTAATGGAGCACAGATGTATTGGGATCGATACTCTGCAGGAGATTTCTGCGTGGTGATATGAACTAATTAACTCTCCTGAGCTGTCAGAGCCTGCAGCAGTTGTGAGCTGTCCTGCTGCATGCAGCCTCCCACTGCTCATCCCTCAAAACAACACCTCCATAAAACACAGTTAGAACAGCAGTTTAAAGCACCCCAGGTCATGCTGACACACACGTAGGTCACTGCAGTGCTGGAACTGTCCTTTTACAGAGCAAAATAGAATACAGGGTAGAAAACAGAACAGCCACCACAACTGTATATGAAACAGAACCACCGGCAACGGGCCCCAGAGCACAGCTGGGGCAGTGCAGTGAGGGAAAGCCATCCCTTGGTACAGGGCTGCTGCAGGAAGCAGACACTGACAGTGGGACCTAGGACAGACAGAAGGACAAAAAGGAGGCTGATGTCTCACTTTGGAAGGGCGCATTCACCTCTCCAGCAAGGCAGCAGGGCTGCACTCCTGCTGTGCCTGCCTGCTGCTCACAGCTCTGTCCAGCTCATTCTAAAAAGCAGATTTGCTCTGAGATGTGAGAATTTAAAGCAGCAGGTTCACGATAGCTGACTTAAATTCGCACATCTGAGATGGACGCAAACAGGGCAGCCGTAGGGAGGCAGCAGCACTGGGACGGGCACAGACACCGGGAGCTGCGTGCTGGCTCGTGCTGTCTGACGGGCTGCGTTGCGCTCATTTTTAATTCCGTGCGCCATTCCTCCACATCTCTGCGAGAATACTGAGCAACACACGCGGCGCTGTCACCGGGCTTCCGTTCAGGCAGCAAAGTCACAGGACGGGCATCCAAGGAAACCGCTCAGGGACGGCGCAGCAGCACGAGGCTCGCAGCCCGCACAGCATCGCCACGCCTGGCGGAAGCTTCACTTCGCACAGCGCAGAACTGCTCCAAGTGCGGGGCTGCACGCGGCACGAAGCCTGGAGGTGGGCACTGCAACGCGACACAAGGCGATGCCGCTAGGAAGGCCATTTAGCGCAGGACGAGAGCCGCCGGGATCAAACGAGCGGCACTGAGAGCAAAGGCAGCAGCTCCACCGCTCCGCGGCCCGGGACGCCAAGCCAGCCGCTCCGCCTCGCGGGCAGCGCCCCCTGCCGGCCGCCCCACCGCCTGCGGGAGGTGCGGGCAGCGCGGGAGGACCGCCCCGCTCAGCGCAAAGGCGACGCAAAGCGCCCGCGCTCGGCCCGAACCCCGCGGCCCGCCTGCGATCTCGAGTTCCGCGGGGCGGCGGGGCCCGAACTGCGGCCACACGGCGAACAGGAGGCACTGCGACCCACCCCGCGCGGCAGAGGACGGGCCAAGCTGCAAGGGCAGCCGCTGTGCGCAGCACCAACAGGCAGCCAGCGGGGCGCTCGGTGCCGCACAGGGACACAGAGAAGCGGAACAGCAGCGCTGGAGGCTGCAGCACAGCTCCCACAGGGCGGCCTCAAACCTCCCTCACTGGAGGAAGCACTTCAGTCACCACTGCTTTCTTCACAAGCTGTACTTGAAATAGAAGAGGCAAACTCACCTGGAAGCACACCTCCGCTAAGAGCAGTATCCTCCCACAGCCCTGAGGGCAGCCTGCCTGCGCCTGGCTTTATGGCTGCTGCCCCCGAGTGCCCCGTTATGCTGATGGTGGGCAGCTGTGAGAGGGCTGGGGGCCCCGAGGGGCACTGGGGGCTTCGTGTGACCAAGGCAGGTGCTGGGCAGCCAGCTGCAGTTCGGACAGGGGCTGGTCTTTAGTTACACCTGGGCTCAAGTTTTTGTCATGTCCTATAAACCAAACTTTAAAGCAGGACTTTGCTGCTTTTTGTCTAAAATACTGAACTCTGTCTCTCCTGTAAGCGCTGAAGTTCCCTACTGAGGATAAACTCTCTGCTTTTATTGTTTATCTACTCAGAAACAGATCGCCAACTTCAAAAATAGGGCAACTGTTCCCTTAGTTCTTAATTGGTTTTATTTTTTTCCTTGCCATTCAAACTAATTAGAGTAAGGTGGAAATGTCTCCCTTGCTCTGCTTAATGAGGATTTGCATTTACGTAACTGGCAGCAACCCCAGGTGCCCGCTCAGGTGCCACACTGCAGCACGGCAGGGGCTCCATGGTGCTGTTCATCTACATTTCACTGCTTTATTCTGTTTGGGGAAGAAATAGTTCCCTGTAAGGGCAGTTCCAAAGACTGTGTTTGTTCTTAATCCAAAAGCAGCGACCAGTGAAATCAGTGAAAACCTCTCAGCATTTCCTAAGAGAATAAAAGCTGCTGTCAGACCAGCTGCTTTGCACCATCCACTCTCTCTATGGTTCGCTGCTGGGTTCTGGCTCTGCCTGTTGCCCTGGTTCCCATTACTGCACATGGGAGCTGCCAGATGCCTCAGGCACAGCAATTACAAAACAAAGGAAAAAAATTGATCTCAAAAGCGTTTCCCTTGCAGCGCTCACCAGGCACCATGGGCGTTACTGGGAGCACGCTCTGCACTCTGAGAGAGGCTGAGCACAGCCTGGACTTTCTCTTCAGTTGCACCGATCCCCATTTATGAAGGCTCACAGTGCTCCTGCTTCCACAGCAGAAGTCCCAGGGCAGCTCTGGCTGGGAGCCACATGCAGCCCGGGCAGCAGCCGTGCACCTCACAGCACTGTGCTGTGGCCAGGCCTTGCCCTGAGGATGCCGATGGTGCCTGCGGTTCCCCTGCTCACACTGCCACCTCTCACCCCATGGATCTGCAGAGCGGTTCGGGATTTGGGCACTCGGATCCCACCGGGCTGAGCTGGGCAGCCCTGCAGGAATCGCCCCCATCCAGCTGGGCTTTGCTCCTCCCAGCACAGAACCCTTCCTCGGCACAGGAGCCTTTCAAAATAGCATACAGCAGGGAGAAGCTCCTCGTCATACATCACGCAGCGGCTGAACGGATGCGGACCACCTGCATTAACCCTGCAGGGAATAAGCATCTGTAATTTTCCTCCTAGGAATCCTGATTTACCTTCACCCCCCGTCTTAGTTCACTGACATCATGGTTACGAGATACATCATTTTTATGGATTACGTCTCACAAGGGCAACATTTTAATGAATAGCAGAATTAAATGTTTGCCAGGATTTTTTCAAAATAAATGATCAATTACCACTGAGCACATCCATCACGTTTATTAGCTCCCTTCTAGAAGCATTTTTCATAACTTGCAAATTGAAAGGAGGTCGAAGTTGAATTTTATTCCTTCCTCATTTGCTCACAGTAAATACAGTGCTTGCAGGTAAGCTACCAAAACCAGCGGGCATTTCTGTGTTGGGTGTTTTGGAAAAAACTCTGCATGCACACAATAGTGCTTTTTTTTTTTTCTCCAATAAGTTCATACAAATAAGGATTTCCTTTTCCAAAAAGCCTGGGGAACTGCACCCTGGTAGATGAGATGTGTCACTTGCTCTCAAGGTCGTTGTGAAACCACCCAATATGCATTTGTTACTAATGATGCCTGAGGAGAAGGTTAGATGGAGGTTTTGTCACGTCACACACACTCTTAGTTCTTTGTCTTTTGCAAAATGGAGCCAGAAAGACACATTTCATTTTCCTATTAGCAGAAAATCAGGTTGATGTGATGATAGAGGTTACAGCCCGCGGTGGATAGAGCAGTTTGCGATGGGGGGCTGCAGTGAGAGCAGCAGGGCCAGCAGAGCCGTGTGCTGCGTGTGCCAACAGTGCCTTCCAGGAACAGATCCTCTGCAGCAGCCGGGCTGTGGCTCAGGGCGGAATGGAATGGTCCAACAGCTCTGCTGGAACCGGCGTTCCGTTATTGGCGCTTTGCCTGGGAACCTCGTAAAACTCTATTATGGCACCTGAGGAAGGATGAGGGCCTGGAGCCAACTTCTGGAAGACCTTTTCCATTCAGAGTTACATCCCAACATAGAAACATTCCCCAGTTTTCTCTGTGCCCTGGCAGTGCCCTGCTCAGGTACCAGCATGTTCTGCCTGGCACCGAGTGCTTCCCGTGTGCTGGGAATGGCATTTCCCCCATGGAAGCACCTGCGTGCTCCCAACCCCTTCCCTGCCTGCATCACAGCCTTTCCCGAATCGCTTTGCTCTTAGTAGTGGAAAATTACAGTTGTGAGGTTTTAGTACCAAACTGCCAAGGGCATGACCTTAAATAGCATTCTGTGAAATGTGTTGCAATGTTACTGGAAATGTTAAAGAGAAAAACGTTACCGTGTGAGTCAGTGAAACGCAGTCTGTGGGGCTCAGTCCTGCACCCATGGCCCAGCATGGCTTTGCAGCAGTGATGTGAGCTCCACAGCTGGTTCCTGGTTTGGAAGCAGTGTGCAGCAGCATGCAGTGGTGTTTAGCAGTGTAGCAGAGGCACGCAGCAGTGTGCAGCATCATGCTGTAGTGTGCAGCAGTGTATAGCAGTGTGCAGCGGTGTGCAGCAACTTGTTGGCTGCCTGTGGCTGCACAGAAGTCACTGGGAAACAGCTCTGTGTGGGCTGTGAGAATTCACTGCATGGGATCTGGCTGCACAGGAGTTATTTTACAGCCTCTCCAGCTGCCCTGTGTGCTCCTGTGGCCAAAGAAACAGATTTATTTGCACTTGCCAATAAATGACAGTGGAACCTTACACTGCTATATATATGAAGCCGTATATGTATCTCATCACAGCTGTGGAAGTGTTGCCCCAGGAGGCATTACCTGACTCGGGATCAGGTTATCCATGGGCTCTGTGGTTCCTGTTCCCCAGCAGCATGCAAAGCTCTCTTGGTGTGTGGTGCTTCAGATCCACAGTGCGGCACGGCAGCCCTGAAACCTGCACGCTCTGTTCCTCATGTGAGAAATCTGCACTTCTGCCAACACTGCATCCTGTCTGGAAACAGGGTCATATTTCACAGAAAGAATCTGAAAAATGTAGATCCATGTCTTTTTGAGCACGTGGTGCTGGTAAACACCCGAGTTCTGCAGTCACAGATGAGAAATAACTCAATTGCGAATGGAAAAAATCACTGGGAAGCAGATGTTGGGCTTTGGCACCGTGCTACAGAAGTGCACTGTGAATGCATCCCGACCCCCCAGCTCACAGCCACTGCATGCAGCAACCCTCCCTGCTGCTGGAGGCACACCTTCTGCACCTCCATAGGTGAGCAACAGGTAACAGCATAAGTGTGCAACCTAAAACTGCAGAGGGGGTTGTTGGCAAAACGCTTGAACTCAGGTTCTGTGAGTCCCAAACCCAACGTGACAATGCTGGATAGTTTTATGTGAGGTTGAGTTGTTTCTATGGGGAAAATTTTCATCCTATGCAGAGCTCTCAAAAAAGCTCCAGGCCCTTGAAACATGGGAAAGCAATGATGTACACTGTGACAGACGAGCCAGCATTGATCTCTGCTGCTCTTTCAAATCTGCTGAGCAACGGGAGCACATCTCCTGCCTCCTCCCCCGAGGAGATCGTGTTTCTCACCACTGCTGCTCATTTAGTTTGGCAGAAGCACTGAGGAACATGCTGGCTGCTTCCACCTGTGGGCAGGCTGTTCGTGCTCCACAGCCAGCCAGAATCCCAGTCTTCCTGCTACAGTTAACCTGCTATATTGGTCTCTGATGGGCAGTGTTATTTCAACAAATTACAGCTCTGCTTAAGCAAATCTTCCTGGCAGACCTTCCTGAGCAGCGTGGTGCAGCACGCTCATATCATGGACCATTTACAACTTTTGCATTATTTGTGGTATAACTGGGATCCCATTCACCTGTGCCTGCATGGGCTCACAAAGACTCACAACGTGCTGCACAGCGAAGGATGAAAATGCTGCTCCTGCAGAGGAGATGCTTCCAACATCACTTAACACCAGCTTCCAAAGAAGATGTTCTGGAGGTGTCTGATGTAACGCTGCCAGCTGCAGGGCCACTGGAGAGGGTGGAAATGGACTTTAGTTTACACACAACAAAGAAGAGTTAAATCTGGAAAAAAATGCTCATGCAGGATGGCAGCTGGGCACAGCAGTGCTGCACACGGGGCTGCAGAGCTCCTGAGAACTCAGCGGGAGTCCCTGAGCAGACAAAGCTGTCATCAGAGCTGAACACATCCTGCCAGAGTCCCAGCCTCATAACACAGAATCATATGTAAGCATGTGGCTACGTTTCTCGTTTCCATCTGACACGGGATTTCATCAACACTCTGCAGTTCCGTGTGTCACATCTATGCTTTTAAAATCGCAGTGAGCAGAAAAGGACTGCTGTGCCATTCAGGTGGAGGAATGGACTCGTGCAGTGGGTGAACCTCCTTCCCAGCAGCAATCCCAGCAGCACAAGCAGCCATGGATTTAAAGCTCACTGCTCTGCTGTCAAAGTTCTGAAGTACATTTCTGTTTCCCCAAAGAGGACAGCTATCGGAACCCGAGCTGTGGTGTGTGAGCGGAGCAGGGGCTGTACAGCACGAGGTGCCTGTCCTGAGGCACACAGCGTGATCTGCCTTTAGGCTGCAGGTGGGTTTCTGGACAGAGCTATAATTAGCAGGCTCCCAGCCTCCCATCCTCCTGCAGAAGCCCATTTTTAATTCTCTGTGCTGCCCTGAGGCGGCCAGACTCACGCATGGAGAGGAAAACAAGGAAGTCCCCTGAGAGGTGTGCTGCTGCGCCTGCTTCACAGAGCTGAGCAAATACTGGTGGCTGAAGACAAGGCGGCACGAAATACGGCTTTGCCTCTGGTTCCAGAAACTGCTCTGGACTGCATGCAGCCTCCAGAAGCTTCGGTGGAGTTTTGCACGGCAAACGCACTGAGCAGCAGGCAGAGCTGCAGCCACCGCTTCCCGTGTCGGCCTTTTACTGACGCTGCTCACTGCCACTCCGTGCTTTGGGGAAAGCAGTGGGAGCAGAGCAGAGGTCGGCAGCCCCTGCATCCCCACACGGTGCTTGGGTCTGGAGCACTTCATGCCCTGTGTGTATGGAGACTTCATTAGTCTTCAGCACGACGTGCCAATAGTGATTACAGTTATTAAAACCTGCTGAGCGATGAACGTGCTATTGCTGCCGATGGATCTCCTCAGGCCAACCTTTCCTCCACAACATGGAGTGCTGCCACTTCTGCAGGGCCACCCTGTGCTGGGGGAAGTGCTGGCAGAGCAGCTGGTACCACTTGGGATGCTGCCAGAGCCCAAAGCTCCACCTTCTGCCCCTCACTGAAAACAGCTCCTGGGTATTTAGGCAGAAGGACATTTGCTGCCCTCAGCATTCTCGAGCTGACTGCAGGGGAGGAAAGCAGTGTTCTGCTGCTGTGCCCCAGCATCACATCGGCTCACTGCGTCTGGCGGCACACACCAGCTGCACAGAGCTCCTCACACCGAGAGGCAGCTGGTGTCTGAGCAGCCCACAGGAAACACATCACCAGCAGCTGGAGATGGAGGTATCCAAACAGGCAGCAAAGGCTGGGAGCTTTGCTTTCTGAAGGGCGTCAGGTATTGCAACACTGCGACAGCAATGAACCGAACACGCGCAGTTCCCAAACCTGCAGGAGCCTGCATGCGCTGCAGTGGGGATGGGCAAAGCGCAGGCCCCATCCTGAAATGCAGAGTATCATTTAAAGCTGTGCTCATTCTTCCTCTTAAAGAGGCAGCAGCAGTCCGGGTAAACGTCTGGGCTACTGAGGATGGTGCAGTGTTTTTTGTGAGCTCTGTAAACACACAGAGCAAAAGAAAAGAAAGTGAATTTTTCCTCATTTTCCTTGCGTCACAGCAGCTTGATCTCACCTCCTTCTGAGTACGTACATTGACATTCAAACTCCAGAAATAAAACGTTTTGTCTTGCTTTATAGCATCGTGCTCCATTCTATCAGCCATTTCCTCACTTTGCAAACTCTCTTTGTACTCTCAGCAGTGTTCCTTCAGCTCTCAGCGATGTCATGCTGAAGCCACGCTGCCATCCCAGCCGGCACACGCACTTCTGAGACTGCCCACCTGGTCACGCACTGCAGGCCCAATGAAACCCTGCACTTCCGGGCTGAATTTCGCCACCACTCTGCAATTACACACCACTCAGCTCAGCAATTACAACCTGTGTATAACGGGGCAAATTTGCCAGCATCCCCAGCCCTGGCTGCAGGCCCAGCACCCCGCATGGCCCGGTGGCTGTGGGAGCCCAGCTGGCCTGGCAGTGCCTGCAAAGGTCAGGGAGTGCCTGTCCAAACAGCACGTCTTTCCTTTGTGTACACATCGTTCTGCGCTTTTCAAAGATCTTCAGTATTTGTCCTGGGTCATTAAAACGCAGCACAGTGAGCCGTGTTTGCTCTCACCCAGCGCAGTGCATCGCCGCAGTGCTTTGTGCCACCGAGCTGCTCCTCCCGGGAGTCCCCGCGCGATTCTTCCATGCAACGCAGACGTTTGCACGTGAGCGCTGCCACAGGGAGGGACGATCGCTTTGTAAAAACGCGCATCACCTCCGTTTAAGTTCGTCTTTCTGGCAGTTTTCTCACCGAAGCTCAGTCCCAATTCCTCTAGAGAGCCACAGGTCGGTAGCCGCCAGACCGCCGGCCAGAGCTTCTTGGAGCCAACAGGTGCGCGAGCCGCCGCACCTCAGCAGCGCTGAGACACGCACCGCGCGCCCGCGGCTCTGCGGAGCAATCGCTCACCTCCGCCACACGGCGCGGCTCCGCCGGCAGAGGGCGTTGCGCGGCGCGAGGCTCCTGATAGCCAGCAGGGGGCGCCCGAGAGCGGGGCGGCGTGCGGAGCTCCGCTGCTGCCCGCGCGCTGCCGCGTGCTGCGGAGTGATGGGCGCAGCTCCTGGTGTGTGTGTGTGTGTGTGTGTGCTGCTCGTGGGGTGTGTGTGTGTGTGCTGCTTCTGTTGTGTGTGCTGCTCGTGATGTGTGTGTGCTGGTCCCATCGCTGACTTGGAACGATGCTGAGTTATAATTCCAGAGCACAAACACACCTAAAATGCCGTGAGTTTTTAACTGGTGCTTTTCCTCGGAATCCACCCCAATTACCAGCTGCAGAACAGCAGCTGCAGCTCAGATCTTGATCGTGTTTAATGCCCAGGAACAAAAAATTTCAGCTTATTTTGAAAAAGCTCCACTAAATTCCTGTTGCTGCCCTGGACTGGGGTTACCTGGTTCTCAGTGCTCTCTTCTGCTCTCATTCTGCAGCTGCAACTTAATGGTTTAACATCCACAGCAAGTAGTTTTCTTGGAAATTAGCAGCATGAAATCTAGATTAAACAAGATCGCTTACATTTGAGCTCCTCACCTTCCTAGTGTGTTTTTAGAGCAGGAAATGTTATGGCTTGGAATCTCATAAAAAAGGATTTATAATGGTCAATGATTAGCACATCAGTGCACCAGGTTGCAGCAAAATTGACTCAGGCTTTGTTTGCCTGGCTGTGATTCACCCATGTGCACACAAGCAGCAAGAAGTTTGGGCCCAAAAGGAACAACACAGTGTGGGATCTGGGGGTCACTGGGTGAGGAGAGGCTGAGGCTGCGGGCAGCTGGCCTGGTGGCCTCATCTGACCTGGGGCTGGGGCTGCCCACATCCCTGCGACTTGCCGAGCTCATCCTGGAGGTGTCTGCTGTTGGCAGCTCCCGCAGCACCAGCGCCGGTCAGTGGGCCCAGCTCATGGCTGCGGTGGGGCTGCTGGGACTGAAAAAGGTGGGAATGCATTTCACGACAGTCACAGCTTATATATCGAGCATCCTACAGTGCCAAAACGCAGAGGCAGCACATTCTGGCGTGGGCTTTCGTCCCAAGGGCTGGCCGTGCAGGACAAATGCTGCAGGGAGTTCAGAGAAGTGACTTCCTCCTCTGCAGATCTTCCCACCAGTGATGAAATCCTCTACCAACCATTCTCCGTCCTTCATCACACCTACATGATTTCTGATCTCTTAAAAAGAAATACTAAAAGAAAATGTAGCGAAGCAGGGCTCCTTGCACCACTTTGAAAACACAGCCAGCAGCCTGGTGTCATTCCCTGATTCTCTTCACAGAATCCAGCAGGAGAAAAGAGCCCTTATTTACACACAGCCGTTTGCTGATTTTTTCTCCGAAGCACCCCCAAGTCCTCATGAGAGCTGCCCTGCGAGGGCCCTCGCCCTCAGGCAGCTGCAGTTTGCCACAGGGAGAGCTGGAGTTAGGTGCTGGTAGCACCAGCCCGCGCTTCAGGAAGGCACCCCTGAAATGCCGGATATCTTTTATCCGGTGATGGTTGCTGTCGGTAAGGGGAGCTGACACCTGGCGTCTGTGAGCTGCGATGTGAGCGGGCTGTTTGCTCCCAGGAGCTGCACGGGGGCACTCAGCCGCTCGCTGGGAAACAGGCCAGATTCCTCCCATCCAGGGCCTTCCAGTTTGTCAGCACATCCGGATCTGTTCTTTAGCAGGAAAGATGCACAGACAGCAGCACTTCAGCCCTAGCACTGCTGCAGTAAGCATTTATTGCAGTGCAGCGAGCAGTGCAGCAGCAAGTGCTGGGGAGCTGAGGGGTGTGCAGCACCCTGACCTCTCATAGGGATGGCAGTGCTGTACGTGCTGGGCAGGCGACAGCTGCCTGTTTCCTGTGCTCCTGGCACTGCTCAGCGCAGCTTCATGGTAGGCAGCACACACAGCCTCACAGCAGGGCTCCTGAACACTCAGCCCCTGCCCTGCTCACGTCCCAGGGCCATTAACAGAACGGAACAGGCAGGGTCTGGTTAGAAGGCTCAGTTCTGTCAATGAATCCACGCACTGCAACACTGTCTGAGACTTGAAGGAGATGAGGACGAGGAGCTCTGGAGCTGTGCTCCCCCACCCCAGCGGATGTTGGTGGCCATGCATCGCCGTGTCATGCTGTGAGGCGGCACGATGCCCAGGACGCAGCTTTGCAGATCGGTTACTGCTTCCTCCCTGCACCCAGGAGCCACATCGCCCACCTGGCCTCCGTGTGCAGAGCCTCGTGCTGTGCCAGTCTCCAACGCAGCAAGGCCGTTCTCTGACATTCTCCAAGGGCTTTAGTTCTGCAGAGCGGGGAAAGCCAACACAGAAAAGGTATGCAGAGGGATTCCTTTGTACTGAAGAGGAACTGACACTGAGCAGTGATACTATGAACCATGGCAAATGCATTGCTGGGGCTCAAAAAACATATTTAGATAAATTCAGTCTTTCAGTGAAAAAAAAAAAAAAAAAAGCTACGGAAACTACAGAAACATGAAGTAGGTGTAGAGAATTAGAGCAGGTGGGTTCACCAGGCAAATGTCCAGCATTGCAAAGCCAGCGCCCACTGTCCACAGTGCAGCCCACCCGCCTCGATGCCCATTGCAGCAATCACGGTAGCAGCACAGCCAGCCTGGGCACACTGAGCTGTGCTGATGGAGGACAGGGCAGGGGCTGCAAGGCCACGGTTTGGCAGGGCACTGCCTGCTGTGCCTGGGTGGTGTGGCTGCTGGCAGTGCCTGGCAGCAGCCTCCTGCGACACGGGCATTGCTGCGTTGGGTCAGGCACAGCTGCGGTAGGCAAGGGCTGTGATGGGATCCTGCAGCACCACTGGGATGGAATGAAACTGGCCCTGGCCTTGGGCAAGGGGGTGTGGGAGCAGGGAAGGGCACATGGGCTGGGCAGGGACGTTGGGGCTTATCTGTGTCACGGAGGTTCCTCTTTCTCTCCTCCTCCTTCTCCTCTTTCTCTCCTCCTCCTTCTCCTCCTCGCACTGGCATACAGCTGCCCCAGCCCTCAGCACAGCAGTGCCTCACCTGGAAGGGAAAAGTCTGCACTGAAACACCATACCTGGGCCATGGCACAACTGGGCATCCTAGTTTAAGGGCCCAGTTTGGGGCCTGCTTTGCAGGGGAGTTGGACTCAATGATCTCTGGAGGTCCCTTCCAGCCCCTACAATTCTGTGATTCTGTGATCTGCAGCCAAGGGCTGAGCAGCAAGGGATACTTCACAGCCAGAAGCTGTGCAGCCAGGGGCACCTCAGCACTGCAGCATCTGCAGCCCGGCACTGACACTGCATCAGCTCCTGACTGAGCCATCAGAAGTCAAAAAGGCCATACAAGAGTTAAGGCTCAACAAAGCTACCATAAATATTATGCAGCTGTTTATTATGCTGACATTTCCACAAGGAAATCCTCCTGTCTGCACAGCACAGGAAGCCGTCCCCTGGAATAAGCACACCCAGCAGACAGACAAAGACCACTTGGCAGCAGAACGGCTGCATGCTGGCGTGGGTCACCTCCGTGCTGCAGTGGCTGCAGGGGACACCTGCACAGCCCAGAGCTGCTGAGCTGCAGATGCAATGCAGCTGTCTGCCAAGTGCTGCAGGCCATTATGAACTCACTTTTACAGGGACTTTATCACAGAGTGTACCACTCATCCCTCAGGGGAGAGATCCCCAGCTCAGGCTCAGTGGGCAGCTACTGACCCAAAGCAGGAAGAGGCAGAGTTGTTATTATCATTTTAACTAATGCAACTGCAGATGCCATTCCTTACCTTTTTCTAAAATGCTGAGGTGAGCTCAGTCCACATAAAATGCAATCCCTATTTTCCCATTGCATTGCTGACTTTAATAACCTTGCTAATATTCTAGGGATCAAGTTCCTCTTGCAGTGTTAGCTCAGCAGCACAGCATTGAGCAGAGCCAGTCAGAGTGTGCTCTGCACATTAGCCAAGCCACAAATGAATTCCTCTTCTTGAGTCCCGACAGCAGGAGCCACACAGAGAGGGCACATGGCAGCGGGTACAGACGGCACCAGCAAAAGTTGCTTCTTGCCACCAGGAGGAAATATTTCCCAGTGAGAGCCACCGCCACTGCACAGCCTCCCCTGGGTGTGGGTCTCCAGTGCCAGAGGATTTCAGGGTGCGAAGGACTGGGTGAGCCCTGGCATGTCCTCCCATGACGGCTGGTTGGTGGGCTCCCCTCCACTGGGGCTGTGCTGCAGATCTACAGGTCAGCCTGTAGTGCAGTCCCGTGTACGTTCTGAAATGCTTCAGAAGAAAGAAAATACCTCTCCTTGTGCTGAGATATAGGGCATGCAGGGTGCCCATGGATCAGCCCCCTTGCCTGCCTGCTTCTGCTCTGTGCCTGCTCCTGCCCTGAAGAGTCGACGGTATTTTCTTCACTGGTGCATGGTGAGCTGCTTTGGACGTCAACGTACAAGGAAAGAGTTAATGCAGAGAGACAATGGAATTTGCTGTGGGAAATGTTATTAATTTGGCATTTGATTTATGCAGAGTCAGGTGAGAAGCTGGGGCACTGAGCAGCTTCACAGGGCCTGAGCTCAAAAACCAGCTCAGGAGCCATCCTGATACTCTGAAGTCTCAAATTCAAGCACTGATGTTAAATCTTCCGTTTCAAAATACCATTTCAGAAGCACAATTTAGGGAAAGCTGCCCCCTGCAGCGGAAATAATTTCAGGGAGAAATGGCGCTACTGACTGCAGTGCTGACTACACAGGAGCTGAACAGGAGGTAACAAACCACACTGTGTGCTGTCTGCGTCTGGAGAGCAGCAGCCCCACAACTCTCCACCACATCCTGTGTGCGAAAAGCACCGCAGGGAACGGGTGGTGCCAGAGCGAACGCCATCCGAAACGCAGTGAAAGCACTGCTGGACTCTGGCTAATCAACTCCTCTTGGAAACTTAATTTGTATTGATTGGGAACATCCAATGATGGAGACTGATACCAGGCAATGACTACACACTGTGCAGCGCTTGTTTGCAGACAGTAGCTTTTCACTTACAAGGCGCTATATCGCCAATTCCCAAAGGGTAAAAAATAAAGTATTCTGATACCCGGACAGTTCCAGAACATTCTGGACAAAGTGCTGTAGCAGATGATCTGCAGCCTCCCTCTAGAGGTGCCACATGATGTCACACTCAGTGCCAGGTACCCCCCGTGTCACATCCCCACACCCCCTTGTGTCAGCTGTGCACGGCTCTGTCCTCCCCCAGGCATCCCCATCGGCTCCCAGGACCTGCTGTCTGCTTGCTCCCCCCTCCCCTGCTCCCAGCTCCCTCCCACCCTCCGGGCTCACACGGCAAGGCACGACGGGCCTCAAGTAAGCTTTCATACCACTTTATGAAATACCCAGAAACAGAACTTAAAGCCTTCCCCAGACACGCTTACCTTGCTGCCTTTCACCAAGCAGCACTCCATGTATTTGATGGTTCTCTTCTCAAACACTCTATTTGCTTTCTTTAGACTCAAATAAGAAGGAACAAGAAAACTGGAGTGCAGTGTGATAGCTGTTCCTTTTTCCTGACTCAGTGTGGATGGGGGAAGCTTTCCACTGCATAGGCTGGGAGTTCAGTCTGCCCATCCAGAGGCTGAATGCAGCCCTGCACAGTGACGCCTTCTTCCTTTGGCCCAGACCCCACTCACCTGTCGCTGGCTCAGGATCTCGACTTTGGGTGGCACAAAGTTCTGATCTCTGCAAACACCTGGGCAGCACGTATGTCCTACGGGGAGGAGAGGCGGGGTGGGCTTCTCTTTGTTGGTGTTTCACATTTTGGAGCTATCCTCACAGGTTTGGTTATACGAAGAATGATGGCTGCCTCTCTAACAACAGACTGTGAAGCAGTTATTGATTTACGAGGAAGCTTTGCAGCGTGAGCAGCCCTACAGCAGCCAGGCAACACCTGCAGTGGGACGAGCAGCTCCTGCACTGTGCTGCTGCTGTGCACAGAGAGGGGATGCGGTGCAGTGCTGCTGGACACGGGGATGTGTGCATTGTGCTCTGCTGCAGCTTGCCACGTGTGTCAGTGCACAAGCAGGACATGATGCTTCCTTGCTTTTTTTTCCTGCTATTGGTCAGAAGCCACCATTGCAGTCTATGCACATACGAAGAGAAGCAGATGGGAATCAAAGCTCTTATGATATATGACTGCAGTACTAATAAGGAGATTGCCACAGTCAGACACACAGAGGATACAGCCCTATGAACACCGTGCTGCAGGGCTGTGTGGGCTGCATGTGGGATACCCAGAGACCTCAAGCACACCTCTCCTGGCAAGAGCCTCTGATTAACACATAGCTGCCATCGATGAAAAGAAATGCTGCACCTGTGGCTATTTGCATTCTGTTCCACTGTTTCACTGCACTCTTCACCAAAAAAATTACCATTATTTTAATTTCAAACACAATCTATACAAAGTATCTGTCCGTACACACCAAGGCACCTTGCTTCCAGCTAACCACTCATAAATATTCATTAGAGAATTATGGAGCTATTAATGAGGGTAACTGCTGAGGAGCATTCATTAGCTGTCTTCCGCAAGAAATGAAATTTGCATTTTTCAGTGTGGAAATCAGCTTTGTGAAACGGCACCTTGAATGGCAACAGAACTCCTCGTAAGGCAGTGAGCACACAGCCTTTGTCAGGGTGCTGTGCGCTGTGCAGCTGAGGCACTTTATGGGGATGACAAAAAGTGCTTTTCGTAAACCTTAACTGGAATCACAGAATCCTTCAGGTTGGAAAAGACCTCTGAGATCAGCCCTGTGCCACACTGGCTGTCCCTCTGCATTTCCCTGAGCACAGGGACTCGCTTCTGCCAAACTCACGTGGCATGGAGACGCCTCTGTCAGTAGCTGTGATTCATCCTGAGTCGCACGCTGAGGTCACTGCCTTCACGTTTCCTCTGATTAATTTCCCAGCAGGACACATCGCAGCGCTGTGTGGGACGAGCTCATGTTGCCATGGCACAAATGACCACAGTCCCACAGGAGGGACCTCTGGGTCCCATACGGCCAGGCCAGAGTGCCTGCAGTGACAGCGGGTGGGGAATGGAGCTCCCATGGAGCTGGTGATTGTCCTACAGCTGCAGCTAATGGAAACGCACAGGAGAATCCCAGGGGAGTGCACATTGGGTAGAGCAATTATTCCTCAGCCTGAAAGGCAAGACAGGAATCACATTCCCTAATGCCTCTCCTAAAGCAATAATTAATAGTTGCTCTTTGGCACTTGTATGGTACAATAATGGCATCGGAGAATGGGGAACGCAGGGCAGCCTGAGGTTCCCCTCAGCGGTGATCATTCGTAACAGAAGAGCTTTTACCCAAGAAATGAGAAGTTTCTGGATTTCAGGTGGGATTCACAGCCACAGCCCAGGTCAGTGGGCTACAAAGACATCTACAAAGCCGACCTGCTTGTCTCTGCCTGGGCTCCACCTGTCTCCAGCAGAGAGCTCCTGGGGACCTGTAACAGAATGTCAGAAACCAGCACAGGAGGTGGAGCCTTTTCCTCAGGGCTGCTGGGTGCTGCAGAGCGGTGCCAGGCTGCAGGAGGCTGCAGAGAGCTGAGCTCCCATTCTGCTGCTCCCACATTGGCCCTGGGTTACTTCTCCAAAAGAATGGCGATGCATTGGCACAGCTGCCCAGGGGCGGGGAGCCCCCGTCCATGGAGGAGTTCAGACCCGCAGGGATGTGGCACTGACTCAGCACTGAATTCGCTCTTTATAACCCAGTGCTGAGCGGGGGTCATGCAAATAAGGAGATACAGGCATTCCTCCTTCCCATAGGTGAATCAACATCCATCCATCCATACGCGATGAATCGGAATTGCATTTTGCTTTGCTCAGATGTCTTGGAGGTGAGTTTGAAGCCGCCTGTGCCAGGGGTGAGCCCCAGGTGGAAAGCCCAGCCCAAAGCCTTGGGACAAGAGCCGGCATGCAAACAGGATGCTGAGGGCTTATCCTAAATGCATGGAATGACAAAACACTTTCTGACTTCCATGAGTGATTCACGGTTTTTAC